CACAGTTATTTCTAAGTCTACAGGAGAAACAAGGTTATTTGACCCCTGTTTTATTAGAAACTGATAATTGTAGAGATTTGTGTTCTATACCAGTGCTTTGCAAACTGGGTCTGGACCTGTAAGGGAGTTTTGAAATCCATTTAATGCATCTGACTAGCATCAAAACAAATGAAAATAGACCAGAGTAGAAAAAAAATATAATTATGTATCACATAATATAAGGTCAAGTATTTAATGAAACTTTTGCTTAAGTGTGTGTATTTATGTGCGTGCATGTATACATGCATAAACATTTTATTGGATTGCAATGTGAAAATATTTCTTAATGTATGATGTGATTTTAAAAAGCTAGAAAGCTATAGCCTTATAACTGTCTGCTTTTGAGGTTATTTGAGTATCTGAATTTCTAGTATTTTTGTGGTTTTTTTCTTGGGGGGGTGGCTGGGTTGGATGAAGGCCTTAAGAGTTAGGGTAGAACAGTAGAGAAGCAAATGCCTTTGAATCTTTATAGTGTTTAAACAATAAAGTTGAGTTGGAATTTTACTGATTCAATATTTTGGGGTAGTTAGGGCTATATTTGTTTTGTGAAGCTTTTGAAAGCCATTATAACCAGAGGAAGAAACGTATGTTACAAATTTATAGTTGCATTTACTAGACATGTTGTCTATAGTTGAGCGAACATTATATCAAATGATATTAACTATTAAGCTAGATAGAACATCCTTACTGATTCAAGACTGGAAAGATCTATTTTAAATAACATCAGCTATTATGGCATTGCTTAGAGCAACTATTGAGTATTTCTTTTTGAGTGTAGACCTAAAATGTAAGCCCTCCAAAAATGGAGGGCTTTAACACTCGGGGAGGTTGTCTTTAGGTTTTTGGTTTTGTTTTTTAAAGTGAAATAGTTTTCAGGAAAGGTCATATAAATAAACATTAGGTGGTGTTTCAAGAAACTGAATTATAGATACTAACTTAATGGCTTCTTTTCTCCTTTCATTTCTTTCAAAGGTTTGGGCCCCATGGGATCCCTGTGACAGTATTTCCCAAAAGGGAATATAAGGATAAACCTGAAGCCATGCAGCTCCAAAATAATACATTCCAAGGGACAGATGTCAAGCGTGACGTGAATGGTGCTGTTCCCGAAGACCCTCCTCCTGTCCCGCCTCCTGAGCTGAGCTTGGCCGAAAGCCTGTGGACTTGCAAACCACCACCTCTCTTCCATGAAGGAGCACCTTATCCTCCCCCTTTGTTTATCAGGGACACATATAACCAATCAATACCTCAGCCACCTCCTCGGAAAATTAAGCGACCCAAACGAAAAATGTACAGGGAAGAACCTACTTCAATAATGAATGCTATTAAACTACGACCCAGACAAGTCTTGTGTGACAAGTGTAAAAACAGTGTCGTTGCTGAAAAAAAAGAAATTAGAAAAGGTAGTAGTGCAAGTGACTCTTCTAAATATGAAGATAAAAAACGGAGAAATGAAAGTGTAACTACTGTGAACAAAAAACTGAAAACTGACCATAAGGTGGATGGGAAAAACCAAAATGAAAGCCAGAAAAGAAATGCTGTGGTTAAGGTTTCAAATATTGCTCACAGCAGAGGCAGAGTAGTCAAAGTTTCTGCTCAGGCAAATACATCAAAAGCTCAGTTAAGTACTAAAAAAGTGCTCCAGAATAAGAACATGGATCATGCAAAAGCTCGGGAAGTGCTGAAAATTGCCAAAGAAAAGGCACAGAAGAAGCAAAATGAAACCTCTACGTCCAAAAATGCACATTCAAAAGTCCATTTCACACGTCGATACCAGAATCCTAGCTCAGGTTCCCTTCCACCCCGGGTTCGTTTAAAACCACAGAGGTACAGGAATGAAGAAAATGACTCTTCTCTGAAGACAGGACTGGAGAAAATGCGGAGCGGCAAGATGGCACCAAAGCCCCAGTCCCGCTGCACCTCTACCCGCTCAGCAGGTGAGGCCCCTTCAGAAAATCAGAGTCCCTCCAAAGGCCCTGAAGAGGCCAGCAGTGAGGTTCAGGACACAACTGAAGTGCTTGTGCCTGGTGAGCAGGATGAACCACAGACACTGGGCAAAAAGGGCAGCAAAAGCAATGTCTCTGTTTACATGACCCTAAATCAAAAGAAGTCTGACTCTTCCAGTGCTTCAGTGTGTAGCATTGATAGCACAGATGATTTGAAATCCTCCAACTCTGAGTGTAGTTCTTCTGAAAGCTTTGATTTTCCTCCAGGCTGTATGCATGCACCTTCCACATCCTCTACTTCCTCCTCTTCAAAGGAAGAGAAAAAGCTCAGTAATTCCTTGAAAATGAAAGTCTTTTCCAAAAACGTCTCTAAGTGCGTCACACCAGACGGCAGGACCATATGTGTAGGGGACATTGTTTGGGCCAAGATATATGGCTTCCCCTGGTGGCCAGCCCGTATTCTTACTATAACTGTGAGCCGGAAAGATAACGGCCTTTTAGTCCGACAGGAGGCCCGTATTTCATGGTTCGGGTCTCCAACAACATCTTTCCTGGCTCTTTCGCAACTCTCCCCCTTTTTAGAAAACTTCCAGTCACGCTTTAATAAGAAGAGAAAGGGCCTGTATCGCAAGGCTATCACAGAGGCAGCTAAGGCTGCCCAACAGCTGACCCCTGAAGTGCGGGCTCTGTTGACACAGTTTGAAACGTGAACATGGACAGTAAGGTAGGCAAGAACCTTTGGAAGGTGCCACAGATTTTCTAGTCTAGTTAGGGGTAACTACGAGATAGCTTGGCCAAATTGGGGAGAGAACTTGCACTCAGTTGGCTGCTTTTTTATACTTAACCTTACAGCCATTTTTAGACTGAGAAGCTTAAACTGAACAAGCAATCAAATTTTGTCTTAAGGAAGTGAGATTTTAGTATTTTTCAGTTTTGAAGTCTAAAACCACCCCAAGGCATAGGAGCCATAGCCTCAACTGAAAATGAATTTTTGCAGGGACTGTTAATTGCCATTTGTACCTAGTACTGTGTGTATGTGTATACGTATATACACACACGTAAATATATGTGTGTGTGTATGCATAGATACATACATGTATCAAATAAAGCCTGTCACTATGTGACACAGGTTGCATATCTGGGATCATAGTAAGGGCGGGTGAGCTAGGGGGAATAGTGAGGATATTTAATGACTACTTGTTTTTTAATTAATGAACACTTAGCCTTTCTATGTGCATAATGGCATGGGAGTTTGATACGTAAGATGTTTGACAAACTGAGATGCTTGCTGTTGAATTGCACGCTGGGGAAATAGCCCAGTATTTGGGATTAAGACTGTCAAGGCTGGCTAGGTCTGAATCATCGCTCTCTCTCTTGTCCAGTGGGGACTTAACAAAAACTTTCAGACTTCTGGTTTGGGACGTTAGATAGGTTTGTCTTTGGATATGTAAATAGGTGATTGCTAAATTTGGTCAGATTTCTCCTGACTGGCTCTTCCTAAATTCTTAGGATACGTCCTGGTAAATTACACTTTGTGAATTAATTGTCATATATGTAATTGTTGCATTTTGGATGTACCTAGTTTGATAATTTTTAAAAAATATTTCCATTTAAGGTATCTGTTTGCAGGTCAGAAAATGAGAAAATGTAATTGTGTAATGCTCTGAAATGTAAAAAAAAACAAGCTGTAAATAAAATCGACTAAATCCAAATTATTTGTGTGTGTTTCTCAAAAAGCTTTGAAAAATTTCAAGATGGTAGAAAATTATTCTTTGTAATAGTGTATAGAGGAGATGAAAAAAATCACTTATTTTCCTATTTGCCCTATCAGGGAATATATAATCTGAGCATGATAAAATTCAAATAAGTGACTAATCAATATATTCTTAAAATGAGGTTTTGTAGTATAGAGGTCTGATATACTTCTAGACTTGAGACCCTCCTGCAGCCAATTTCTCATATAAGTGTATGGATTTTAATTATTTCATTTTTAGCTTTAATATTTCATCACATGCTTCTTTTTCTTTTTTTTTCTTTTTTTACATTTGTGTAATTAAAATCAGTCTCTTTTCTGCTTTATCTTCTGCCTCAGGTATCATTGTTTTTGGGGCTTGTAACTTAGCTCACTATTTTTCTACATGGTCCATCTGTCCCTAAGATTTGATTTCTTATTTTCCATTTTTAGCTTTGTATTGTTAGTGAAAAATCTGATTGATTGCCTGTGGAGGCAAGTTTGTCCCAAGATTTTTTAAGTTGCTTTCATATTTTAGGCTCCAACTTAGCTTTTAAATGTGATACAATGTCAGTTTGACACTTTTGGAAACTTGGAACTTTTAAAGAGAGCAACTTTTTATGGATTTCTAAGTAATGCAGTTGAAATATCTTAGTTACTATGGAATTAATTATGAAAAGATTAATGGAGATTGAAAATCAGTAGTCTTCGGTCAGCTTCCTTAAGGTAATGTACCAATTTCTGCAAAAGCAAGTGGAATTTCTTCTGGGGAACTCAGTCAATGCTTTTTGATTATAATAAACACACAATTAAAAAAAAATGTTTCACTTGAATAGAACATATTCTTTCCTGCAAACAGAAATATAGTATTTTAAAAATTCTTTGATTATAACAGGTTGAAAGAAGTTCATAGTGTGATTGAGGGGTTTTAAGGAAGTATCTTAAAAGATTTTCAGAGAACTTGTTTCAGATTAGTGAATTTGTTCATGCAGATATTTTCGAAAGTTTGAAATCTAAGGTTCAGGAAGATTTAAACCAGGCAAAGCAAAGAGTCACCTAAGTTATGTAATTCTAAGGCTTTGGGTAATGATCCAGGTGAGTTTTATCCTAACATAGAAATGGTTTTGACAGTGGATACTTCTGATGTAGTTAAGTGCTTGGGCAGATGTGCTCTTGTGGGATAAACTAAATTTGATTTGTTTCAGAAGCCATGGAGAAAAAGAAGAAAGAAAAAGATAAAATCATGATTGTTGAGTATAAAAGTAACAATTTGATATAGTCCATACCTTTGAAGAAAAGGTTGAAGCATAATCACAAATGTGCATGATCTCTTATTATTATGCCAAATAATCCCTCTGTTTTAAACCAGCAGTCTGGCATATTTCATCTGAAGTTTCTATAGGGAAACAAGTTTGAAAGAATTTCTGTAATCTTAAAGATGTACTGTGTGTTCTAAACACTGAACCAATAGCTGCATACTAAACAGTGTTTTCAAACAAATTTCTTAAGCAGCTAAGATATATTTGTCCAGTATCCACTGTAGATGGAGATAGAGTTGAATTGGGTAATTGTAGCCATTTTTCTCTTACATTTCTCTTTAACAACAACAAAAAAGGAGACACTGAACTCTTTATATGGAGACAACCAAATGGGTATTTGTTTTCCCCCTTGCAGAGAGAAAACTAGGCTTAGGCCAGATCTCTAGTGGTCTAAGAAAAGTGATTAGAATAGGATTAGCAAGGGGGAGAAACTAAGGGAAGTAAGAGCTGTGAAAGCTAAAGATGTCTTTATTTCTAGAAATCTTTGGAAATGTAAAGCATCAGAGTGTTTTTGTCTTTCAGTTTTCTAGAATTTATAGACCAGAAAAGGTCTCTTCTGTAAGTTTGGAAGGGACTCTTTATAGATGTGGAACCAGAGACCTGAGATATCAGTGAGACCAAGAAAGTAGAATTCAGTAGTCTGAAGCCTATTTACAGGACTGGATGGTGTGTCCCTACTTGGTTTTCATGGGGAAAATCTATAAATAGTAATTTTAGATTGGTACTAAGTAGCAAAGACAACAGACAGGAATATAGATATGAAGATGGACTGTGGGCAAAGGATATGGAACTTACTAAAATCAGCTAAATGAATATCTTCATTAGCGGGTCTGAATTTCTAATTTAAAAAATAGAGTTGCACCCCTGTTTTGAGCAGGTTGTACTTACTATTGGTTATGTTGAAGATACACATTTAAATTCTTTTATATACATACACATTCTTTAATATAAAATAACTGAATTGAGAATTGGAAATACCTTAAGAAACCTATAATTTGGATCTAAAATTAGATTTTTCCTTTTAAGTTGTGAATTTTTCTATAGCTTGTGCTGCACTGGTTCACATTTGGTAATACTTGTAGCAGAGAAGAGATTGGCAGATGTCTAGAGAAGTTGATAATGTTTAAATTCAGGACAGTGTTTTGATCTGTATCCGGTGATGGCCTCCAACAGGGAATTTGCCAGAGAGAATTCTGAAGACCCTGTTTCTAAGTTGGGACAAATTTAGTGTTTGCTTTGGAATTGTATTAATATGGTTGCTATTAAAACAATTAAAATGCCTGATAGAGGGAATTCAGAAATAGAACAGGAGGCTGGTGCCTTGCCAATAGCCAGGAGAAATAAAACAGCTAAGCTGCCTTAATTACCTTTACCTGGTTCTGACTTAGTTACTAGGCTCTTAATATTCTGTATTTACAGTTTGTGTACATTTACTGTACTCCATTCAACAAAGAGTGAATAGAAGTAAAAAAAATGAAAGTTTCAGTAGTTTAAGTCATATAGGTGATCTATATTATATTTTTAGTTTTCCAGGATATCTTGGTGTTTTTACCATGGATAGTTGATACTGAGATCAGAGGAGAAACAGCTCAACTCATTTGTTTATTCTTCACTCAAGAGATTTAACCTTTATAGACTCAAACAGGGTTTTTTTCCGGTTTACTTTCTTTGGGACTTTAGGTGGAAATCATTTTTTCCCTTCATATTAATAGAGAATTGTAATTTGCTGGTTTTTTTTTTTTTTTTTTGGTATTTAAAAAATTATTAAATATACCTAACATACAGTTTACCATTTTTACCGTAAGTACAGTTCTGTGGCACTGAGTACATCCATGTTGTTGTGTAGTCATCACTACCATCCATCTGTAATTTGTTTTTTGATAGAAATCTTTTAAGTTTGGATGGTATTGTTCTGGCAGCCTGGCTTCCAGCATTCCTTCCTAATCAACCTGCAGTCCTGCACAGGGCTAATGGTGCCCCCCATTTTTTTTTTTTTTTTTTTTTGCGGTATGCGGGCCTCTCACTGTTGTGGCTTCTCCCTTTGTGGAGCACAGGCTCTGGACGCGCAGGCTCAGTGGCCATGGCTCACAGGCCTAGCTGCTCCGCGGCATGTGGGATCTTCCCGGACCGGGGCACGAACCCATGTCCCCTGCATCGGCAGGCAGACTCTCAACCACTGCGCCACTGGTAAAATTTTTAGGTCAATTAGTATGACTGCATTTACCTATTAAATACTCTTTAACAGTAGGTTTTAGGTTAAAACCATCACCTCCTAATGATGAAAACAATTTTGTGAATATGGAAACCATTTAAATGATTTTAGTAATGGAGTTAATTAAATTAGTTTCCAAAACTTTAATTATTTACATACCATCACACTCTTTACCATATTTTCATATGTGTACCGTTTTTCCACTTTTTATGTCAGTACTACCAATGGAAAACAAATATGCCTTGACATGTAGATAATTCTGTTAAAATTCTAAGATCATCTTGTATACTACACTTTGGTAGGAAATACTGAATTTTTATATCATGCCTTAAAATCCATCTTGGATAGAATCAAATTTTAATGTATCTAATCTCTGAAAAAACTAACTGCCAAACTTGAATTTTTTCTTATAGATTCCTATGTTAGCATAAATTAAAGATTGGTTGTGGGGATATGTAAAGGAAATGAAGAAAATAGACTCAAAAGTTACCAGGATTTATCATAATAGTGAATTTCTGAGTCAGATTCTCATTTTCAACTGAATAAATTACATGGCTGTAGTATATGGTCTAAGCTGTGGGCCTTCTTCCGTTAGACACTTTGGTTTGTAAAACAATTTCATAAAACTTTGATGTTGAAAACTGGCCAGTTCTAAAATTAACTTGTCTTAAAAGTTGGTTTAAAAGTGCATGAAATATTTCTTTAAATTCCTGATATTTGTAAGATCTCGTTAAAAATAAGTTGAAAACACAGCCATTATTTAAATATGGAATTTTCCTTGTATCATAAGAATGTGACAGTTAACCTTTTGTTGCCTTAGAAGTCTTAGTGCCAGAAACCTCCTTATAATTTTTTCTATCCAGTGTGGTTATCTAGAAGGAATACCAGATACCCCATAGCCAAAGTGTTAAGGCTGTGTTATAATCACACTTTTTCCTTTTCATGTAAACTAAAAAACTTGTAATTTTAACACATACCAAGTTTTAGCAAGAGCTTGTTTTTTAAATATTTAAGATAATTTTGTAACCCTCAGTATCCCTCACTCAGTTTTCTGCAGCACAAAGATTCTCTTAAAAGCTACTGAAAAGTCCTGGAAGGCATACATTTTTCCCCCCAGGTAAAGTATAATAGGGGTTTTTTGGGCTTGCCTGGGGAGACTTTTTTTTTTTTAATAGAACTGTGAGAGGATCATCCTGTTCAGTGTAAATGATAGAAATACTTATGAGAATGTAACTTGCCAGTGATGCAGGTGAGTTGGAGTGTCCGTTAACATTTTTGCACTAATAGTCCTCGGTATCAGTCTTTTTATTGAGCAAAGGATCATTTTTTGTTCACTTTTCAGGCACATGGTTGAAAGTACAGGCTCTTGAGCCAGATTTCCTAGGCAAAGCCTGACTTGGATCTGCCACTTACAAGCTGTGTGATCCTAGGCAGGTTACCTCAGTGTCATGATCTGTGAGATGGGGGAGAGAAGTAGTACCTCTTCAAAAGGTAATTGTGAGAATTTAAATGTTTAAAACAATACAGTGCCTGGCACAAGACTTACGTATATACTTGCTGTCATTACCACAACTAGCGCTCTCTGTATGTGGCATAGAAATTTCATTCTGGTAGCTTTTGATAGTATCTTTCTTCAACACACACGCAGTATAAATTTAAAAAATGTTACAGCGACGTTATTCTTATCTGAAAATTCCAATAATCATAGTATGCTGATCATCCACAGATATCTAGAAGTAGGCATGGTCTGACTAGTCCCAACAGGCATTTGCGGAGGACAGCTGGGTTGGAGGTTGTGGGGAATATGGTGAGGGGAGAAGTCCACTGACATTTCAACTCCTGAATGAGGAAAAGGAATTATGATTCAGACACTTACGTACTAATGATCAGTAACCATCTGAGAAGCCCAGCACACCCCAGATCCTTTCAAAGGCATGAGAAATATCTGAGCTGGTGGGGCTCAGTGGAGTAGAGGTCCCTCTTAGGAGGAATTTCCAAAGGTATTAGAACCACAGAGCTGTACTTGTCAGCTTTTAAGTAGTGTAAATAAGCTTTTGTGTACAGATACTGTGTTTTCCTGAACCTTGGTGTTTTATTATTTTAATATCTTGCCAAATGGTGAAAAAGTGGACATTAATTTGAACATCCCCTTTTATTGCCACTGGTATGATTAGATTGTTTCCCATTTCTAGGAGGGAAATACCTCACATTCCAAGGCCTTGATCTGTGTGCGTTGTGGCCATATTTTCCAGAGGGTAGTCATTTCTACCCATGGCTCCTGTTTGAGATGCTGTTGATTACAAACCTATGATTTCCCCTCACCATTTAGTTTTTAGCAGGGAATCCGGCTGGGAGTGGCACATCTTGGTGTTTGTCCTGGTATGCTGGGAAGAACTATGTGCAGTTTGTCTAAAACCCTAACGAAATAACTGGTTAGAAAAATAGCATTAGGGTGGAAAACCAGAATGTCTATTGTAAAATGAGACACTATCTATTCTTTTCCTGGTTGTTCATGTTGCATCACGCTACATTGTATTAAGAGAAAATTTATATTGAGTGTTCAGGAAGATAGTAATGTTAATTCTTTAGTTTTTAATTCTGGGCTTTGCTCTAAGAGTGTGACCTCTACTTCCTTCTTTCATGCACTCTACAAAGGAGACTGAAGGTTCTTACCGTGTTCTTATTTGCCCCTTTATATCTCTGCTGCCTCCCAGGAGTAGTTGCCATTGTTGAATGTAAGCTTTCTCTTAAAGGACAAAACAAGTAATTTCCAGTGAAATCACTGCCTTTCATGAGGGTCTCCTTCCATTTACTGCCTCACTGCTGGGGCTTCCTGGCACTTCCTCATGGATCCTGCAAGTGTGG